GGTGATGGAAGCTCCCAACCGCTCCTTTTTTCCTTTTTTTTTTTAATTCTGAGCCAGCTTTAGCTTGAGGCTAGGCTCCAGCTCTTAGGCCTCCACTGCTAAAATAGGTTTCTGGCCTTTGTTTACAATGTTGCAATCCTTCTGGCTGAAGTCTGGCGGTATTTTTTACATAGTTTCTTAAACTGCAGGCTCAGAAGCCTGAAGCGCAAGCGGGTAACGTTGGTTTCCTCCGTCACTGAGGCAAGCAAGCCTCATGTTAGTTTCAAGCTGCCTGGCTGCCGGCCACCATCTTGGCTGTCAGTTAATTTGCATATCTCGCTGATTAGCCAATGGGAAGGGTAGCAGTCGTATGCCAATTACCATGTTTCTTTTTTATTAGTGTAGATATTTAGGCATTTTTCTGAAGGAATAGATGCTCATAAAGCATTTAGATTTGTATAAAGAATATCTCTCGAAAGTGCTTCTCTTTAATTTTTTTTCCTTTTTTAAAGTTTTGTTTTTTTCAATTGTCATCCCTCCCACATCCTCCTCTTTGGCAACCACCAGCTCATTCTCTGTATTTGTGGTCTGTTTCTGTTTTCTTTATTCATTTATTTTGTTTCATTTGGAATCCATATGTAAGTTATACCATGTAAAGTATTTGTCTTTCTGTGACTTATTTCACTTAGCATAATACCCTCTAGGTCAGTGATGGCGAACCTTTTGAGTTTGGTCCCTTGAGTGTGGCTCTTCCTAAGCCTTAAGTTAGCATTTTGAAAAACCCTAACTTAACTCTGATGCCATGTCACATATAGAAATTTTTTGATATTTGCAACCATAGTAAAACAAAGACTTATATTTTTGATATTTATTTTACATATTTAAATGCCATTTAACAAAGAAAAATCAACCAAAACAATGAGTTCATGTGTCACCTCTGATACACGTGTCATAGGTTCACCACTGTTCTAGGTCCATGTTGTCACACATGTCACAATATCATTCTTTTTCATTGCTGAATAATTTTCTCATGTGTGAGTGTGTGTGTGTGTGTGTGTGTGTGTGTGTGTACCAAATCTTATTTTTCCATTCACCTATTGATGGACATCTAGATTGCTTCCATATCCTGGCTATTACTAGTAATGCTGCAGTGAATAAAGGGGTGCATATGTATTTTCAAATTAGTGTTTTTATTTCTTTTTGATAAATACCCAGAAGTGGAATTTCAGGACCATATGGCAGCTCTTATTTTTAATATTTTTAGGACTCTCCATACTGTTTTCTATAGTGGCTGCACTAATTTACAATCCCACCAGCAGTGCACGAAAGGGTTCCCTTTTCTCCACATCCTCTCCAGCACTTGTTATTTGTTGAGTTAGTGATGATAGCCACTCTGACAGGTGTGAGGTGATAGCTCCTTGTGCTTCTAATTTGCATTTCCCTAATGATTAGTGATATTGAGCATCTTCTCATATGTCTGTTGGCCATCTGTATGCCCTTTTGTTAGAAATGTCTATTCTGGTTGGATTGTTGGTTTGTTTTTGTTTTTGGTGTCAGGTTCTATGAGTTCCTTATGTATTTTGGATATTGACCCCTTATTGTATAATCATTTACAAATATCTTCACACATCCAGGTTGGCTCTTCAATGTGAATATGTAATATTTTTAGCTCAGTGATAGATCATTGGTTAGAAAACTAAAGTGAAATCACTTTGAACTGTTTGCTTTCCCATTTATCTACTGGTGAGTAATTCATACTCTGTTGTCTGTGCCTTAACTGCTTTTCTTTGGCTTCTCCACAACAAATCAGACACAATTGTGAGGGAGATTTGTTTCTGCTCTGGCATGAAGCATAATCGCATTAAATATTTATGGTGTGGACTTTTCCTGTGATTATAACTTAAAAACTCAGAGAACTATTGGAATTCAATAAGAGCAGGGCTTGAAGATGGGTTTGGCTTTTGTTACTGTGGTTATTGTTTATTTTGCAATTTGTTTGGTTTTTATAAACTGGAAGAAAGTTTCCTTAGAAATTTAATCAAGATGGGACATTAAAAGGTTACTCTTTAAACCTTAATTCGTCAAATTTCTTAGGATAAAAGTAGGTTTGTTGTGGTATAAGAAACAGTTGGTTTCCATTTCTACCTTGGCTTGAGTTAATATTTTGTGCAGGATGAATTGAAGATCTAAGTGTACTGATATCTTACCTACACTCTGATGCCTCTTTGCTACTCAGAAGGAATTATGGCATGCAGTGTGCCAATTGGTATTTTTGTGGCTTGCACATATGTCTCTAATGCCAGGCAGTAAATTTGATACAAAACTTTGGGATCAAAATAAGCTGTTACCAGTCTGCATTTTTAAAGTGTTGTGTGTAAAATAGTGTTTCTGTAAAGGCATGTACTGGCTGTCATATAGACATCCTATCTAATAAAAGAGAAACATGGTAATTAACCGTAACTTAGCTACCCTTCCCATTGGCTAATCAGCGAGATATGCAAATTAACTGCCAACCAAGATGGCGGCCGGCAGCCAGGC